AATCCGACACTCTGGCACCATCACCGGCAGGCTGCGTGCATGAAATTGTACCTGCAGCAACTCACCACAGACGATACTACATCTTTCCAGGGATGATGTTCTAAACATTTTATGAGAAAATACGCAGCAATGGCACAGTGCAGCACACACAGCCAACGCCACTCCTCGTGATGCACGGCATAAAGCAGCGTGCTTTCCTCGCAAATACATAATATGAAATGTGTCCTAATCGATCCAAAAAAACTTTCAAACTACTTCTTAAAGAAGCGCCGCCAGCCTCCACTCACTCGATGGCGCACCAAAATAAAACCGAACATAATGACGCAGTACGACCGCAATGCCCATCTACGCGTGCTTCTTGGCGTGAATAGTGACGATCGAGTCGTCGGCGCTCGTAGAAAGATCATCCACCATCAACGACTGCCCAAGCACGCCTTTCCTTCTCTGTCCTCCACTCAGCCAGCTCACCGCCTTCGAGCTCTTGCTCGCAGCAGCCGAATACCGAGAAAGTTGGTCAGCATAGGCACCGTTGGCGCTCGTCGAGAATCCCAGCGACCCACCACCATTCACAAGAGCCTTCCGATCCATCACAAGGGAGATCTTCATCGCCAACCGCTGCATAATCCCACGGCAGTAATCGTTTTCACTCACCGACGCAGTTTTCCGCGGCACACGGACACTCCAACGCTGGCACAGTGACTGGAGCAACTTCAGCCGCCGTGACGGAACAAACGTACCAAAGAGCACTCTCAAAATAGAGAGAATAGACTGCGAAGCACCACTCAATGCGCTCTGTCGAGAAATATGCTCGCTGCTCGACGCATAATCCTCCTCCTCGTCAAGGTCCTGACGGTCAAGCCGCAGTGCGGCGAAGGTGCGCCCGGGCACAGCGTTCAGCTGGTACATCTCCACAGGCACAGGCACACCGCGCAGCGCCACACCGCCAAGCGCAGTCACGTCCAGCTGCTCACGCTCAGCCGTGCTCAGCGCCAGGTACGCCGCACCCGTCAGCAGCACCTGCCCGCCGTTACCAACGCTCTCAGTGCGCGCAGCAGTGTTCGACGTCCAGCCGTAGTAGTCGTAGCCCTTCGTCACCTCGTCCTGCCGGATGTCACACAGCCCGGTGTGCACACCCACACGCACACGCAGGCCGTTCCAGTACTGCCGGTACACAGCAGCGTCGAGGCGCGCAGTCGGCGGCACGTACTCCTCGTCCTCAGCAGCACGGCCCTCCTCGTCAGCATCGCAAAACAACGTACCCACGTGAATAGAGCGATGCCAAGAAGCCCACAGCAGCTGCCTCCCTGACGTGATTAGTAGACAAGGGGTCCTTCGCGTCAATGGAGAGCATCTGTACAACTCTCGTTGCTTCGGTGCTTTGGCCCACCGCACCTCGTGGAGCAGCCACCAGAAGCACAGAGACCACCAGCCCCACGCATACGTGCAGGCAGCAGTCCACCCCACCAGGGCGCAGTGCTCGCCGCCCCATAGTCACCGGTCGAAGCAGCGGCTTCGTGGCGTTGAGAGTCCCTTCCCCGGGCGAATGTATCTCCCATCACAAATACAACAGGAGAGACAAAGAGAGAGGAAGAGCGGCGCAAGTGCGACTGGTGGCGGCCCACACAGCGCACGCAACAGCAGCAAAAGACGGATCGAGTGGGAGGCCACGCAGCGAGCCCCTTCAGTGGGGCACACAGCAG